GAGGGGAGAGACAGGGAGAGAGTGAGGGAGGGAGGGAGGGCGGGAGGGAGGGAAAGCAGAAACAGAGCTCAGAAACACTGTGCCAGACCTGAACGACGCCTACGTGAAGGATGTTGTGGGAGGGAGCATCGGCGGGTCGAAAATCACCCTCACAGTGGATGCTGACACTGGAGCAATCCAGAGCACTGTCGTGTGGACAGAGGCCCCACACGACGTGCACATCCACTTAGCCTGCAGCGCGCACAAGCTCGGCCTTGCCCTGGACGGCTTGGGGGGGTTGGCCGACCGCGTGGCTCGACATGGGGGTGGCCGGCTAAGCCTCAAACCCGTCGCCAGTGCCGAGGCTGCATGGCAGCAGCGCGGGTTCGGCCCTTCCCTTACGCCCGGCACTTGGGAGAAGCTGGAAGCCGCGAGCGCCCCCGGCACCACCAATGCCACCAAGCTCCGCCCTGCTACCCACACGTCCACCCCCGACACCACAACACTCCACGCTCCCTCCTGCCGGGCCGCCACCGATGGCTCCACCACCACCCTCACATCCCTCACCGCCGGCACCGTTGCCACAGCTTGCGCCACCGGGCCCAGCCGCACCACCGGACCCATTGCGAGGACATTTGGAGGTAACTCGGAGTCTAGCAGAGGTTGGGGCGGTTTGGGGCACCTGCGGGGACAGGTGGTTCTACGGCAATCCCTGCTACGGCCTCGGCAGGCAGCGACAGCGTCAAAGGGCTTTGACCACGGTCCACATGTAACTCTCCTTTTTGGTTAGATCTTGGCAGGCGGACGTCATCGTCCAGCAGCTCCGCCTGGCGCGGAGCCGCCGCCGTGTCTGAGGTGGGGGATGTGGGGCGTGGGGAATGTTGGGGAGTTTGTGGGCAGTCCGCAGTACATGTTTACGTTGGCATCTTTGATGCTACACCAGTAAACACAGCATGTTCGATAAGAAAACACAATGATCGATTTGATGACGTGAATGCCCAGCACCGTGATTTTTCACAGCTTGCGCATGCCTGCTCTTCAGGTAATGCGTCCTCTATACACTCGTTTCGCCCATCCACATTGCTACGAGTGATTAGGGCACAATTGGTTGCCATTCGGAGATTTCGAGCTGTATATACACCTCCGTCGTCGAATTCCCAACATCACTACACAGTAGGATCCGAATCAAACATCCCGTCGTGAGAAAGCGCTCTCTGCGTTGGGACATGCGCGATTGGCCAATGTCACCCCCACAACCTTGCCGCTCCGCTCAGTTTGCGGCGTCGCCCTTCAGCTTGCCGGGAGCTGCAGGGCGAGACCATGCCGGAGCCCCAGTTTTTATGCATTACACACAAGCTTGTTCCGTCAAGCTGGAGCTCGAGATTTCAGCATCACGCCCCGCCCCTTCAGACGGAAAATCGCGTGGCCCACACCGGAATTTTCAGTCTGCCATGGCCATGCTGCAATCAAACACGACGCTTTTTGTTTGGGACTACGGTGGGCCAGAGTTCGACCATGACCAACGCCCTGAGCCTCAAAACATCCTATGCCTCAAACCCGAAACCCTGACCCCGGAAACTCAGGTCCCGGCATCGGCCGAAGCTGCCCCGAGGTCGCAGGCTTGGGCGGTACATCATGATTGCACGCCGGAGTTCAGAAAACCCCTAAGCTCTCACAGAAGCCTGATGTCAAGGGGAGCCGGCCCTTTGCTGCAGGCCCGGGATTTATGCGGCTTGTGCATGTTTGTGATTCTGGGCTTGAGATTTGAGGGTTCGAGGTTTTGATGGTCTGAGGTTTTAAGCCGTCTAGCTTGCATGTTGAGACGACTATTTCCTCGGTGATCTGAGGGTTTTGGGGTTTGCAGGGTTTGAGGGCCCTGACATTGCCAATTGCCAGGGCAGGCTTTCCGCAAGAGACTGGTCCAAGGACTATCAAATTAAATGCTGTAAGTCCCGGAGCTTGTGCATGCACGCTGGGCTAGGGGACTGTGTTCATTCCATGTGCCAGCAGTTTCAATCTCCTCGTGCCGCCGGACATCGAAGGTCTGGCGGCGGTGGAAGCGCAACTGGAGTGTGGTCATGAAACACTTGGCCTGGAGCTCGGGAAACGGAACGAGATGCCGCCCGTATAAGGGATCCTTCAGACCTTGCAAGGATTTCGGAAGGATTGCCCAGTGCGCAAGCTTCCAGAGCTTCCCAGCATGATGTTGTCTGGCCTGGAGCCGTGCCACGTGACCGCTGAGGCGGGCTTCCAGTGGGTCGGCCAGCGATGCAACTTGATGGGCTCAGCCAAATTGAAGAAGCTGGTGGATGCCTACAAGTGGGATGAGGCGGACATTCTCGATTTCAACTTCGACTCGGACCTCTCCGACGGGCAATCGGCCATGAGCATGTTCATGAGGCTTTGCGTCACACAGCCGTGGCCAAGCTGCCCTTCATGATCGCCTCCTCCAAGTGGCCCGTGGTGGAAGAGGGCCTCAAATGCGTGCGGGGCAAGTGCATCGTGAGTTCGATTTCACTGAAGGTCGGCGAGGCAGCCGTGGGGCCGTGGTCATCATGGCCTTCGGTGAGCAGGGTCAGCCGGCCAGCTTCGAGGACCAGCTTATCTGCCAGCGCAGCTACAAGTGCCTGCACGAGAACATTGACTTCCCGCCAGAGGACACTATCTTCGATTGCAACGTGCTGACAATCGCCACTGGCCTGCCGGAGCACAACTCCCGTAGCACCGACTTCATCCATGCCGTGG